GTCGCATTTTAGTTAAAAAAAACTATATATTTAATGGATTTTTTTTTAATTTTTACTAACGGACGTTTTCATACGTGTTGTATTTAAAGAGTTATATAAAATTATTTTATTTATTAAAATATTACAATTAAACTTTGGGAACCTTTTATCCAATTCTAATGGTTAATTACGCATTTCATAGGTTTATGGAATCTAAGATTAAAACCGTTTTTCTCTTGCGTAATGCCAATCAAAACTGACTTTTTTTAAAACCCACATGCCCACAAATTTTTTCTTAAGAAATATGAAAAAAAAAACTCATTGACAAAATGCAAAATTTTTCCTGAATAAATGAACAATATTATTGAAGACTAGCATAGGCCCGCTACGTCGTTAGCGATTTTTATAGTTAAAATAAATATACATTAATTTAGTTTTACAATATACATTTGGATTAAGTATAAATTGGAAATATTTCGAATAATGATAAGTTCTATATCTTCATTTTTTAAGAAAATCTCAGATCTTACTCCGCATTTCTTTCAAACAGAAACAATGATGCTTGTATCCAACTTAAGCGAGTATCACTTACTTATACATATTTATATTTTCTGAAATGAATGCCCATCCGCATTCATGAATGTTAAGTCGTATTCAGAGTCACAACATTAAATAAGTGTAAATGAATTCAACCACCGAAGTTGTGTTGTTCTTCGTTGAGCTTTGTCCGGCGAAGATCGTATTCATTGGTACCATAATACAATCAAACTCGAACGCACAACATTACAAGAACAAGTTATACAACATCAATGAATCCAATGAGTAAATATCCTGCATCGCCTTAAAATTCAACATTTAATAGGATTTAACTGACAATTTCGAGTATTGGTACCCAATAAGGATCCAAATTAAAACGAATTCTGCTGAAATTTTCATTCAAAAACGTCAGTATTTTCAGCCATTTTCACTGATAAATACTAATAATAGGATATCTGTCTTTAACCTTTTCTATTTAGTACTTTTTAGTGCAAATTAAATTTATTTATATTTTTTAATTTGTTATAGCCTTATATACATACAAAATGTCAGGACTCTACCTCTACTCACACAAAATTTCAAAAAGCATTTTTTCATAGAAAAATCCTTGTACCAAATTCTATATCCACCCGTATGGCCGTATACAATGTGTTGCACTTTTTAGTACATTTTTGAATTAATTTATGGAGAATATTTATGTATAAATGTTTATTGTGATAGTTCCAGATAAGTATTTAATAACAGATTCCCATCTTTATCCGTTCTACCGTACGCAATATTAAGTATTTGTAAGTACACATAACTATCTTGTTGGCGCATTAAATTTGTACACACATACCAATGCCATTTTGTACGAATTTCCAATAAGCCAAGCCTCTTATTTATACTAAGAGTTGGACATTTTTGATCTCTAAATTTACAATTAATTTTTTTACCATTCTCTGTGGTACAATATTTAAGACAATTTTACAAAAATGTTTTTGCATATCGCTCTATTTCTTTTTTTCTGGTTTCTTATAAATTTTAACTAATATTTGAAGTTGTATAACGGATACAGATGACTATTGGAACATGCCGGAATTAGGTGCGTTTACCCTATACAGTACGCAAAATCTGTGTTCCTTCATCGACTACATTCAATCCAATAAGCAGATTTTTATTGTTATTGTTAACCTGTGATGTATTATTTTTCTTGTTGGATTTGCTTTGGCTACAGGTTAAATAAAATTCAGTGTTGTTTACTGTTTTTTTTATTTTTATTTACCAATATTTCGAGTGTCTTCAACAGTCATCTTCAGGGAAATACAAAAAATACAATTATTTAATAAGGGTTTCACAGAAAAATATAACATAAATATTACGTTATGATAGATGCAACAGATTTCTTACACCGTCTATGCTAAACGTCTGTGTAATTCATTAACTTCTCTTGCGGTACATTTATTATATTAAGAATTTCTAAAGTAAATCGTCGTTTATTATTGTTTTCTTGCGTCAAAATATGAACGTCTTTGAAATTTGGGTCATACGCCAACGTCAAGTACAATGCGCTCGCTGCGAGAACTGTCTTTTGTTCTAATGGCTTGACTGTATTTTGATCTGACTAATGTCCAGAAAGTCTTAAGTTTGGTTTTTGTTGTACCAACATATACCAACAGATTTAGATATAGCTTCCCAAATATATTTTCGTCCGATTTAAGGTAAATGGTGCACCAAAGTCCTTATATATCTTTCGATTTGCACGAAATTTGGCATAGCGTAATGAATAAGGTCTAGAATGATGTCTCCCAAGTTTCGTGAAAATCGGTTCAGATTTTCTTCGTCCGATTTAAGGTAAATTGTGTACCAAAGTTCCTATATATCATTCGATTTGCACGAAATTTGGCACAGCGTACTAAATTAAGTCTAGAATGATGTGTGCAAAGTTTCGTCAATATCGGCTCAGATTTAGATATAGCTTCCATATATAGTTTCGGCGGAATTTAGGTAAATAGTCCACTAAAGTCCATGGAAATCTTTTGATTTGCACGAATTTTGGCATAGCGTACTGAATTAAGTCTAGAATGATGTGTGCAAAGTTTCGTGACAATCTGTTCAGATTTAGGGTATTGAATTAAGGGGACACCCCCCCCCCATTCTCGGGGTCAACAATTTTTTTGATTTAATTCGATTCTACACTAATTGAAGAATGTCTCTACAAATTTCAATTGAAAATCTCAAGAACTCTTGAAGATATAGCCGATTTCTTGTGTCAGCATCAAGTGACGGCTAAAGGGCTTCTCAAACTTTCAACGCGTTTTTCTCTTTGCGAATGGCGGGCACGATAACTCAAAAACTAATAACCCAATCGATTCCAAATTTTTACACGTTTCTCTGTGAGTGTATAGCTATTGTATGAACTAGGATAAAGCCAATCGGTGAAGATCTTTCTTATTTTTTAACTTGGTTTTTGGTCAAAAATCGGCGATTTTCCAAAAATAATTTTTAAAGGTCCGCCATTTTGTTAATTTTAGAGCGAAGTCAATAATCCTAGTTCATACGAAAGCCAGACATGGATTCCGATGTTCCAGTGAGGAGTTATCATGCCCGCCATCAAAAATGAGGACTTTTCTTTAATTACAAAAAACAACAACAAAACAATAACACATTTTTTGTAAATTATTTTTCTTCTCTTTTAAATTTTCAAATATATATGTGCAAAGTTACAAACCTTAACAAGCATTGGTATTGATTTACCAGCCCATTGAAAATCCTTAAAAATTAAAATCGAGAATGGGTGGGGTTCCCTTAAGTCTAAAATGATGTGGCTAAGCTTCGTGAAAATATCCATAGCTAGGCCGATTGACACATCGTACTGATGTAATATTAATTAGTCTCTGGCAAGTTTCCTTTAAATCGGTTCAGATATAGATATATAACGTCGCCTGTAGTAGAATACACTGCGTATCATAACTATAGCCGCATCTTTAATTCAATTGGTATGTTAGTTGACAAATAAAATTTACACATTAAGTTATGGTTCACAATAAAACACAAAAACACATATTATTCAACAAAAATAATTAATTTATTCTTTATGGTTTCGCCAAATTCTGCACTTTCAAAATTACTGGTGTTGCATAACTATAGACGCACTTTTACAAAATTAAAAAAATGCATTTTTTAAAACTTAAATAAAATAACTTTAATAAATAATGGGTAGGGCTTCCCTTATTTTGATTAAGTTCAACAATTTTATCCATCACACTGTTGATCAAAATTTTTCGCAAGCCTTCATCGATTGACCGCCATTCATCGATAATCACTTCTTGGAGGTAAAATACAGTTTGGTATTCGCGGTTTTCTGCATAGACACGATGAGTCAAGATTTCACACATGTTCTCGATCGGATTCTGGTCGGAAATTTTAATATTTTTCGATTTTAACCATACTTGAGTATGTCGACTTTTATAACCTAGTGCGTTGTCCCGCTAAAAAACGAGTCCTTCATTGTTGCTGCTTTCCCAAAATGGCAATAATTTGTCTTCCAAGACTTGAACGTACTCCATTGAATTCATCCGACAACATGAAAATGTCAAATAAAGCATTCCGTGGCTATAAAATTCTCCCAAGACCATTAAGGAACCGCCACCGAAATATCGTTTTAAGAAATATCGTGATTTAGTCCGTAGATCTCTCCAATAACAACTAAAACCATCTGGGGCATCAAGATTGAATTTATTCTCGTCCGAAAAAATCAACTAAGAAAAAATATCGAAGAGATCTACGGTCTGAGAGAGTATGCTTTTGATTTTGTTTAATTCTTTATTTTTTTGTTGTATTAAAAGTTTAAGTACTTCAAAGTGAAAATTGTAGTTATTATAGATTTTTCAAAAATTCTTATGTATACCAAATTATTCAGCCACTAGATGCCAGAGTTTTCATATTATGGATGACAAAGCCCGAGTTTTGCCATTATTAGCAATGAGATGTCTAACGTCATGTATATTTTTTTTCACTGACAGTACTCTGGAAGCGGGACATATAAATGAATAAAGTAGTATACATACTAAAAAAGGAATGACTAGGAGGATTAACTAACTATACTTACTTTCATTCCAGAGTACTATCAGTGAAAAAATATACAAGGCTTTAGACATTTCATTGCTAACATTTTGAACTTTAAATAATCATTACATAAATAAGAAATATCAAGCAATATGATGGTCTTTAAATTAGTATTTGTGCTAAGAAAAAATACACTACAGTATGTAAATAAAGTGGTTTTGTTTTTATAACGCACATGCCAACCTTGAAATTAATTTGTTATTGCGTATTTGATTTGACACAATGGTCAATATGCAAAATATGTGTTATCGGTCTGGTAAAAATCCACAAGCGATCAACACTTGATCCACCGAAACCCCTTTCATTTCACGTATTTTTACTAATTTCTCTTTTTCTTTTTTATTTAAGGTCTGTCAACACAATTTCGCTTAAAGTTTGTGATAATACATCTGTAAAACACACATCTAAAGAAGTAAAAAAATATTTTCATAATACGATGACTTTGCCGAGTGCTGCACGCGTGTACACGGATGTGAATGCACACAAGCCAGACGAATATTGGGATTATGAAAATTACGTCGTTGATTGGGCTAATCAAGATGATTACCAGTTAGTAAGGAAATTGGGGAGAGGCAAATACTCTGAGGTCTTCGAAGCTATAAATATAACGAACAATGAAAAATGTGTTGTTAAAATTCTAAAGCCCGTAAAAAAGAAGAAGATTAAGCGGGAAATTAAAATTTTGGAAAATTTACGCGGAGGCACCAACATTATAACATTGTTAGCTGTGGTAAAAGACCCAGTATCACGAACTCCTGCCCTGATTTTTGAACATGTCAATAATACAGATTTTAAGCAGCTATACCAAACACTTACAGATTACGAAATACGATACTACCTGTTCGAGTTGTTGAAAGCACTCGATTATTGTCATAGCATGGGAATTATGCATCGCGATGTGAAACCACATAATGTAATGATTGACCACGAAAATCGTAAGTTACGTTTAATAGATTGGGGTCTTGCTGAATTCTACCATCCTGGCCAGGAGTACAACGTTCGTGTAGCATCACGTTATTTTAAAGGCCCAGAATTATTGGTTGATTATCAAATGTATGATTATTCGTTGGATATGTGGTCATTAGGCTGCATGTTAGCCTCAATGATTTTTCGCAAAGAACCATTTTTCCATGGACATGACAATTACGATCAACTTGTTCGTATAGCGAAAGTCCTAGGAACTGAGGAACTATATGCTTATTTGGATAAGTACAACATTGAATTAGATCCAAGATTCCATGATATTTTGCAAAGGCATTCACGCAAACGATGGGAACGTTTTGTTCATTCCGACAATCAACATCTTGTTTCACCAGAAGCTCTTGATTTTCTCGACAAGCTTTTACGTTATGATCATGTTGAGCGATTAACTGCACGTGAAGCAATGGCTCATCCGTATTTTGCGCCTATTGTTAATGGTCAGATCAAGTCCAATAATCAACAGTAGGATTGCAATTAAAACAGCAAATATGGTAGTGGATGTGGTAGTCAAGGATTCGCACTAACAACAAGAAAGGTGGGACATATAATCGCCATAATATGATCGTACGATACAGAAACTTGTGCATAACCAATATGAATAACTCCGTAACTGTATCAGATTGGCACATTAAGAAATACAATTTTGGACTGTTACTATCATTAAATATTCATTAAAAATATACAATAATAACAAAATATTATTACCAGATATTTAATAAAAAATCGTGTGAAAAAAGCTATGAAACTGAAATTAAATTCACTAAAACATTTTAATATTTTAAAAGGGCAATAAAATTAGCATATAAAAGTTCGTAACTTTTTTTGGATTATAACATTTTTAAAATATTTTTTTGTTACGTATGATCTTGTACCTTTTTCGCGAAAATATAAATATATAAATTAAATATTTTATTGATCTATAGTTTTCAAGTGGAAGTGGGAACAGCTGAAATCAAAATTATTTATTCGTACCGATATTTGGTACAAACTGAAATAAATCGTCACAAATAATTAGACCTATAACTTATTATATAAAACTATGACAAAGAAGATTTAATAATCGGGTATGTTCTGGAACACACTTCCCCTCAGAAGTTACCTCCTGCTTCTCACGTGAATTGTAATTTACAAACTTCTGCACAAAAAAAAAAAATAAAATAAAATAAAAAAATAACAGTTATTTTTTTAATTTTATTACAAATATACCTTTACCTTGCTGTGTACACTTATTGCAATAAGAACAGTGATTTATAAATAGTAATTTCATAGCTGATAGCAAGTTGTATAAGTTTTTTTTTTACGTAAAAAGAGTTTTATTTTGAGACAAAAAAAACTGCTTAATTGAGTTCTATTTTTGACGAAAAAAATAAAAATCCCTAAAATAGTTTTATTTTTATTAACGGTTAAAAATCAACGTTTATTTTTTCCGTTGAATAATAAGTCTTCACATGGGAATTGCGAGTGTTTTCTCAAGATTACCTAATATCCTTAATGGACTCGTCAATACGAATCTATTGGTAGATGTCCCATGTCTCTAACATGAAGAGTTTATTGTTCGCATTTTCAAAAATAACTGTTACTTTCGATCCCTGCGGCAAAATGGTACAGTTTAAAATTCACCTCTTATTTTTTCTGGTTCGTTTTTGGACCAATTTAGAATAAGTTCCTTGAATATATTATTCTAAGTGAAGAGCCTAATATATTCACCCCTATTCCGTAAGTCGTCGTCGACGACGTTTCTTTGTCGACATCACTTCGACAATTTACAAAAAACGATACTCATCGACGTCGTTTTGTGTCGACGACGACATTCGGAATAGGGGTGATTATGACCATTTATTTTTCAAAAAAGTAAAAAAAGACTTTCTCTTTCACCTTATATATAAATACACCTTGCTTCTACCGTTGAATTGAATGGCAGAACATGCCCGTACATTCTTAAGACTTAACAATTAGCAGGAGTTTTTTAAACACATAATTAGCATATAAATGGCAAGATAGATAAAAAGAGAAGTTCACAAATTTTATGAGAACAAAGATAAAGCATTTCCCGGATATACGTAAGCAAAAATTCCGCTTAAGAGAACAATCGGTTTTTAAATAATTCTAAAATGATGTATCCTATTCTTGTCCGGTAATGTTTTTTTTTTTTTTTTCTTAAAAAATGTTCAAACACTTCAGTCGTCAACAAAAATTATGACGAAGAAATCTTGGACATCGTCGTCGTCACCAGGGTGCGCAAAAAATTCGCTCGCGAATGATTCAAAATACATTCTTTTCGTTTTGTGCTCATTTTAAAAATGAATTTATGGCGATAAATTCTTTACCAAACGAACATTCGCCAAAGAATGGTCGCACAACATAACAAACGAGTGAGAGCACACAACAACGTTCGTTCGTTTGGTGGTTGAAATTCTTTCTGACATTCTCTCACGAATGAAAACAAACATTCCCGAATTCTCGCGAATGCTCAAAACGGCAACAACAATAACAAACGTTCATTGTGTAAAAGCAATAGGGCTGCTACAACAACAACAAACGTTCGTCAACTCAATAGTTGTTGGACATGTGTTTTGTTATTCCACACACTTTCTGCTACCCACACATTCTTTCGTTGTTTGTGTGTGTTTTCATGATATTTTTGTTTGTTGTTGTTTTTAACAGTGCTCAAAAGAATATTCTTCAGCTTGCAGCGAAATTTTATCGTTCGCGAATTTTTCGTACAATGCGAACATTCGCGAGAGAATGCAAATGCTTTTGCATTCATTGTAACTTTATCATTCGCGATAAATTGAATTCTCGCCCGTGAGCATTCGTGAGAAAGAGCGTATTTTAATCATTCTTCGCACCCTGGTCGTCACACAATTTGCAAAAGACGACTCTCTACGACGTCGTTTTGTGCCAACGACGACATACGGAATAGGGGTGATAAAAAGGTGGTTTGCTCTATTGCATTATAATGCATCTATTTTATTGTTATACCTAAAAAGGTCAGTTACTTTCTTGCTGTTTTTATTGGTTTTCTTTACAAACAAACATAATGAACTCAATGAACAAGGCATTTTATAATGGTATTCAATTTGTAATTAGTTGGGAATTATAAAAAGTTATATCGATGTTGAATAATTTTTATTAAATTAATAGAGTTATTGATCATATTTTCAATTAGTTAATTTGGTTATTATGAAAGTAGTATTACTACTAAAATATGTAAGTTTGTTTAATAATTACTAAATTTATCAGTACAAAATTACGAAAATTGAGGTAAGCACTTGGAATTATTGATTTTAAAAAATATTATTATTAAATACACAATAATAAATATTTGTACCATATACTTACAATTCCTTTTTAATTTTTTTTAATATTATTTTTATTCCCATGCTTGCCCAGCATTATTTTACGAAAACGAAAAATTATATACTACGATAGCAGTGAATGCTAAACACGTATTCTCTTTTCTTCTACTAATTCTACTAATTTTACAAGTTTTGCAACTTTTTACTCGAAAACCGTTCCTGAACTCACAAAACTGGTAAAACATTGAACCAAATTTAAGAGAACCCAAAACAAAATTGCGTTCTCTTTGTAAACTTTTTACTCGAAAAATTCGTCCGAGTAAGCGGGGTTTTACACTGTTGGTCATGAGAGTTTTTTTTCTCCCTCATTGGTAAATTGAGAGTAATTAAATTTGTGCTATTTTTAATTTTGTAACAAACGTACTTTTTGTCCACAAAAGGTAGATTTTTTTATTATTCGTGAATACATTTACGCTTAAATTATAACATATATTATTTATGCAAATAACTGGTATAAATATTCACCCCTATTCCGTATGTCGTCGTCGACACGAAACGACGTCGAAGAGAGTCGTCTTTTGCAAATTGGTATTCCCTATGTCGTTGTCGACATTTATCGATAACTATTGAAACATTTTTGGTATTCCGTAACAATGTGTGACGACGACGATGTCGAAGATTTCTTCGTCATAGCTTTTGTTGACGACAGAAGCGTTTGAACATTTTTTTTAGAAATTAAAAAAAAAAACATGACCGGACAAGAACAGGATACATCATTCTAGAATCTATTCAATACTTAATGCAAAATAAAGTGTAAATAAACAAATGTCCGTTAAATCTGAACCGATTTTGACCAATGTCAACAGGAATCGTCTCTGCGCCAAATAAAATTTCATCCCAATTGGATGCACTTTTCCAAATTTCATCCCGTTCGGATCATAATGGTGGCATGTAACTTGTTTAAAATAATACATGGATGGAGGGACATGCATAAATCGACTGAAAAATAATTCTATGTACATATATAATAAAAAGTAACTATGGGTCTATCTCGTTTCTTTTTGGTCGTTGCAAACACATTTACCCTGTGCCACAGTGCGGTGAAGGATACAAACACATTTTTGCCCAAAAATATGCAATAATTTTTTTGTTTTTATTGATATTATCGATAAATAGTCGACATCGTCGCATGAGTGTTACAGAATACCAAATCAGTGTCGAAGTGATGTCGATGTCGATGGGAAGTGATGTCGAAAGAGAAACGTCGTCGACAACGACGACGACATACGGAATAAGGGTGATTGGTCAATATTTCTCAATAATTATGATTTATTATCATTTGGAGTAACATTTTAGGTACCTTTTTGTACTTGTTTGTTCCTACCTGTGGCAATGTTTTCCAACTCTATTCCTAATTTACCATTGAGAGAGAGAACAGTATAAAACCCCGCTAAAATGGTAAACAGGAATGCCAACTTCTGATTGGCTGTGAAACATCAAAATATTAAATATTTGGTAATTATTCACCCCTATTCCGTATGTCGTCGTCGTTGTCGACGACGTTTCTCTTTCTCTTTCGACACTGATTTGGTATTCTGTAACACTCATGCGACGATGTCGACTATTTATCGATAATATCAATAAAAACAAAAAACACATCTCTAAAAATGTGGTCAGCTGTTTATTTTGTTGCATATTTTTGGGCAAAAATGTGTTTGTATCCTTCACCGCACTGTGGCACAGGGCATTATGTCTTGGTAAATGTGTTTGCAACGACCAAAAAGAAACGAGATAGACCCATAGTTACTTTTTAGTATATATGTAGGGGAGAGGGGGCACCTTTGAACACTTTTTTCTTTCAAGCATTACAAAATTTTTTATTTTATAATTTTTGGTTTCTTATAAATTTTAACTAATTGTTACATATGTAACCTTTAAAATGAATATACATATGACATACTTTAAGCTCGATAAATATATTTTATTACTGTTTTAATGGACGAAGTCAAAGTGTTCAAAACTGCCCCCCCAGGGGGGCAGCTTTAAACATTAAAAAATATATTAAAAAAATTCCAAATTTAAAAGATTTAGATCAAAATTTATTAAAACATAAAATGACCTAAAAACAAAAATTAATATGGTGAAAAATACAGTTAATTTCGTCATCTT